CCCGTTTCAATCTCCAACTGCTCAGAAGCCCCATATCGGAAGTATAAATGCCAGTTCTTTTGTAACTAGGCAGTACGATGACAAGACATTACAAACATGTTCTACGGTTGGTAAAGTGATATTGTATGATTACATTTTTGTTTAAGCTTTTAATATTTAAGTTAGGTGCACATCGAAAGGTTGCGCATTTATTTACGTATTGTTCCTTTGCTGTGTTGTCGCCGAATTGACTTCGCACAACGCCCTCATATAAATACCGTATAAAATACATACCTATATATTTCATGTTTGTGTATCGTAAATGTATGTTTTCGCTGCACTTGATTTCGATCTGTCATCGCTCTCGAGGGAGGTTTTTTTTTTTTTTTTTAATTTTATTCGTATGAGGTAGTTCATATTCGGTGCCGGTCAGCGAACTCTAGTTGAACTGTCATTAATGCAGTTGATGATTCAATTGAACAGACTCGTTTGATATTTTGGAACTCAGATGGCAATGCCCAAGTTCCACGCGTTCCATTGCTTCGGATGTTACGCACATGTATAATGATTTGTCATAATATTTTCAACTATAGATATCTGTTCATTTAAGATATAACGATATGGATATCCAAAAATTATACGTTGATAAAATCAGGTGGATTTCCCATTAGGTAGCTGCTTCGGGCAGCAAATTTTGTAGTGCTTTTTTCTACAAAATTGTTATAAATATACATATATAAAACGCCTTAACTAATGGTTTTTTTAAAAATAGTGATTAGTAAAAATTATCATTGTACGTTTTCATTAAAATTTGGAGGTCATCCATTGACATTTTTCAAAAGTAAGCTAATTAATTAAAGCTAGAACAAAATTGTCTAAAATTTCAAATGGATTAAGGTACTATTTTGTTAAATAATTGAAATGACAAAGTTTTAGTGCCTATAGCCGTAAAAAAGTTAAATTGGCCATTAAATATAAAATTTATTGACGGACTTTTTTTTGAAATTGTTAAACTAAAAAAAAAAAAAAAAAATCAAAGTATAAAAAATATGTTGTTACGAATTAATATCGATATCGTTGTGTAATACTAATCTACAAAGTTAATTTATTTTTTAACTCGTTAAGTTAATCTAAGAAACGTGTGTCGAATTAGGTAAAAAGTTAAACAATATATTTTTAACTTAGTTCAACTAAAAATTAATTGATAAAAAACTAACCTAATTAAAACAAAAAAATGTTACAGTTTATCATTGGTAATAAAAATAACATTTCTACAAGTTAAATCGATTTGAATATTTTTTCGCTGCAACTTGTTTACGCACGACAAAATCAGTCGTTTATCTGAAAATAGATAACTCGTTTGCACACAACGACACATTCACACACATAACACGTGTATACATAAATCGTCATATACTGCAGAACAAATTTTCAATAATGGACGGTACAGTGGTGACTAGTGTATTGACGACGTAAACTTTAATATAGACGTATAAATTTCTAATATTTTTGAATCTCAGTGAGGAAAACAATGCTTTAATTTAGATAGCTATAAATTTAGTGAATACCATGTTTTAATGAGTGGATGTTCAAATTTTAGATGAACTAATAAAAAATATCCTGTGAGTGTTATTGTAAATACGAGTAAATCAAACAAAATAATAAAATAACCAACTATCATAATCAAAAGGAGTATAATAATGAACGATAATAAGCAAAGAAGTTTTGACACTAGGGATTTTCATCACAGGTAGCCAAAATATATATGCGTAATCGAGTTGTGCATTTTTGCGCAAACAAGTTGTAAAAAAGGTAAATGTGCACAAACGAGTTGTAGCCATATTTTTAAGCTTGGAGTTATGCCCACATTTAGAAAACAAAGCATTGAGTATATGATCAACTTTTTCACCACTCATCAAAAAGTTAGCTAATTGAAACAACCTGTACTTTTGTAACCATTTAAAAGTTAAGTACAAATGTTCAGTTGGAGTATTTTTATAAATAAAAAATTTAAAAAAAAAGTAGTATTATATTATTAATATAATACTTCAATGTATGGTATATCTATTTATTTACTCTCACTTATTTTTTTATGAACAACAAAAGAACAATTTTTAATAAATAAATACAAAATCTCAAGTTAATACCCAAATTTATTCTTTGCATTTTATTTATTTAATCAACTATTATTATACAAAATATTAGACTTATTTTTGTTTTATTGCAATATTTAATATTTTCTTAGTCGTGGTAACGGTTTACTATATAAAATATAGTAAACTACAGACTCATAGTTCTTATTTTAATCCTACATTAAAAAATAATAGTTTTTAATTATTATTTATAAATTTACAGAAAATATAATTAAATAATTCATATCATTTACTTTTAAGGATACAGCCATGTTAAAGTCTGAATTAAAACTTGTTTGTATTTCATTTCTGAAAATGTACAATGAAGATTAAATTAAGCAAAATAAAATTATATGGACAAATGGTTTATATAAAAATTAAACTTAATTTTTTTATTTCTGTATTCAATTAATTTGAAGTTAACACGTTATATACACTAAGAGAGTAATATATTAAATTAAAAGTTAGTTCCAAAACAATGTAACGCATAATTAACTTAATTAAAACTAACTTAATTTTAATTTTTAATTCGTATATGCCAACCTTGCTAATCTGTGTATGTATAAAAGCCAAATACCACCCACTCACTGATCCCTATTTCTCAAAAACTAATAAACGTACGAACTCGACATTTTGATAAAATATTTTTAAAAATGTTGGATTTAGGTGGATTAATCTATAATGATAATTCAACACCAACACTTATTGTGCGGCACGTGGGCTGCTGATTTCCAGTTACCTGCGTCTCGTCCTTTTTGCTTGGAAATTGTGCGTTTGATACAGGCAGATGCGAATTTTTATGATAATATTATCAATAAAAATAAAAATTATCTCGTGCATAACGTTTACTAACACTTTTTGTACCGAAATAGTAGTATAAGCAATTACCTTTACACGGGAGAACCAGTTACACTTCAGGTTCCCAAAGTGGTCTATATCGACCCCCTGTAAGGGGTCTATCAACTAAAAAAAAATGGGGGTGCATCATGTGTAAATAGAGGTTCACGAGAGTTATAAGTCAAAAATGTGTGTCATAATTTTTACGAAAAATATGTGTGCCAGAAGAATTTACAAGAAGAACTGATCGGAATAAGTACTAACGAAGAACTTAAGGTACAATTTAGAAATGGGTATTAGCAGTTTTGGCTTCAGAGAGACATACCTGTTACTTTTCCTGCTTTATGGAGAATCGCAAGAAAGTTTTTAATTTATTTCCCGTTATTATACTGCGTGGAAAAAGGTTTCAGCACAGTTGTCAATCTTCTTACAAAAAAAAAAGAAATAGATTGGAAATTACTGATAGAGGAGTTTTGAGGTTAAACTTGATTAATTTGAAGCCAAATATTAAAAATTTACTATCAAAGCATCAGAATTATCCTTCCCATTAAAAATAAATTTTTTTAATACCAACCTTGATTTTTTTTAGATGTTATTATATTTAATTTGCATTTTTTATCGTTTTAATTACTAAAAAATTAATTTTAATATTTTTCTTATTAATGAAATAAAGGTATTATTAAAAAAAACACGTTTTTTATTTAAAAAACATGCATTCCATTATAAAGCCTATTCAGATGAGTAGTTCCGTGTAAGTTATGAAAAATACTTAGATGAGTTTGTAAGCATTTAATTTTAGGGGTCTTTGAAAATTAAAAAAATTGGCATGTGGTCTAAGAAGAAAAAAAATTTGGGAACCTCTGAGTTATATTGACACGAATACCTTTATATTTCATCAAAATACCACTTTCAATTCAAAGGCTTCAGTTTCCGTCTAGGTCTGTTTTATCATGACAATTAACAAAGACAGTTTTTGAAATGAGTATATGTAATGAACGACTGATTCTCCCGTGGCCAATAATACATTGTCTGTTCACGTGTAAGCTCTCCTGATATTCTAGTAATACTGCTGCCTGAAGTGTGAACCAAAAATATTATTTACCAGAAGGTGTATTAAAAAAAACATAGACGACGAAGCATAAAAACTATTTTGCATTCAACAATATTACCCATAATATTCTAAAATAATATTATCAATACAAAAATAAAAAATATATGAAACCGTATAATTCAGTTAGTAAGTAATACGTACCTGGGCAATTACTAACTCGTAGGTGGATATTGTATTGTTAAACGTTTGCGTTTTTTGGAAATAATTCTATTGCGCTGAATTGCGACCGTCAAAATAGTTCGAAATAATCGGTAATTTCCTAAGGGCAAAAATTGTTGTTCATCACTAGGGCTCAGATTTTAAAGCATAATAAATAACAAAAAAAGCACAAAATTGTCTTAAAAAATCAAAAATGAAGCAAATTTATTTTTATGATTAATGTATATTAATTGTTTCCAACCTTTTGTTTTTCAATAGAACATGGTTTAGTTTACCCGAAATTGCAATTGCAATATCTCTGTTAGCTTCATTCAACTTCTCTTCTGCATTTAAAGCGATATTTTTAAATGTCGTCAACTATCTAACTGTTTGCAGATCGATAGTCTATATGTTTAATAAATTTATTGATTAAGCCAAAAACAATAATAATCCAATACAACCATTCAGTCCGTGTTCCGGGTATTCAAATTTGTTATTAATGAAATAATATTTTTTTATTATTACTGTAGTATGATCAACATATAAAAATTCCACAGTTGGAATAACTGAAAAAGCAATAAAAAAGCAAAAAAAGTATTTACAAAAAAAAGCAAAAAAAAAAAAAAAAACAAAAAAAAATCGATTTATGTGGAAACAGAAAGACGTCAAACGAATTTATGTTTAAAAATTAGGGTTCTATCTCATATATTTAAAAAAAGAAGTATTTGATTAAATACCCGAGCCCTGTTCATCGCACTCGAACCGGAACCCGTGGTTAATCGTTTCGTTTGTTTCGTTTCCAGGTCAATTCGGCCCTGCGGTAGCGCTGATTGCTGCGTCCTACACAGGCTGCGACCCGTACCTGACCGTGGCCATACTGACGATTGGTGTCGGCCTGAACGGTGCCATTTACTCGGGATTCAAAGTCAACCATCTAGACATATCGCCGCGGTTCGCCGGGATACTGATGAGCCTGACCAACTGCCTCGCCAACCTTGCCGGACTGTTGGCCCCGATCGTTGCCGGCTACGTCATCGACAAAAGGGTGAGGCCACGTGTTGTTCATGTATTCGTTTGTACATCCATGCATGCGTATATTTTTGATTTGTTATCGGAAACCGTTACGATTGTGATCGTTTGGGTGTACGCACCAGAGATGTCCACTTTACAAGTGCTCACACGTAATAACGTGTGTCCCTTGGTACACAATTATTCCGAAACAGATCCCTGAGCGTTTCCCTTTAAAAACGACCAGCTACTCCTGGTGCAGGACCCCCAGGCATCACTTAGTTCTTTTTCGCTCCGATTTCATATTTTTTTTTTACGTGTTTTCTTCGATATGTTTACTTTTTATCCCAAAAACCCAAGGTCAATAGCCAGTATGTATACTGCCAATGGGCATACGTAAACTGCGCCCAAATTCTTAACTTATTAAATTTTGACTTCATAAAGTCTCTATGTATTTTGTTTTCATTTTGCACAGTCTTGGAATAGAAATATCTAACAAAATGGTTAAAGTAATGACTATAAAAATAAAAATAGTGATATTAAAATATGGTTAGTTCAATGTTACGGCTTACCATTTCTAAGTCCAGGAAGTGTATCTGAGTATTTTGTCAATTATTTAATGAAATCAAAGCCTGGCGACGAAAGAGTGACACGATTTGCGGGTTATTTGGTAAACGTAATTATAAGGGAAGAATCTCAGAATTCACCTGAAGTATGAGCTCAAGCATCAGCAGAGCCAAATTTAACCACAAATGCATGCGAGTATTATCATTCTCACTTTAATTCCAGCTTTTATACAACTCATCCAAATATTTTCATGTTCATAGAAAAGTTAAAAGAAATTCAAATAGAAGTATACATTGAACTAAATAATATAAATAAACCGTTTAAATTCCAAAACTCTAAAACAAAAAAAAAAAAAAAAAACCGCGAAAACTTAGAAAATTTAATTATTTTTTTATTTGCATATGACATATTCGACTTAAGATAATGTGAGAAATATTACAGATAAAGTTAGTAAAATTAAAACAAATAAATAAATATAATAATTAAGATAACTAGTCAGTAGTCAACTAATTAAAAACAAGTAATAAAATATATAAAATGTTAGTATGGTAGTTTATAGTAGGTATAGTAAATTATAATAACATCAATACTAATACCAATAGAGATCACAGACGAGTATTTAGTTCTTCAAGCCATTTTATAGCTGTTGGTCCACCCTCGTGTAGTTTTGTTAATCCTAAAAAAAATTTAATTAATAAATATAATAGTGGTCAAATTCCAATTGAGGAATATATATCCACCATATGTTATTATTTGTGATATTTGTATTTATTTTGCTTTTTTAAAATTATATTTTATTTTAATTATTCATATTATATGGCTGTAACGAATTAAGTATTTTACCTGGAATTTTACCCGGACGCAGTTTACATGTCACCTTTTTACACATGTTAAAACCTCGGACGCAGTTTAAAATCGCAGCTGCCAATACAAACATACAAATAGTTTTTAAACGAACCTTTTTTTTTATTCGTAGAAAAAACAACGTTTTGACTAAAAAATGTTTTTTCACAAAATCTTATACTTAATATGCTATACTATAAGTATATATTTTAAATTTTATATCAATGTCTTGGCCCACATATGTTGGAAGTAACAAATTCTGATAAAATGTGTTCTGTTTGAACAATTTGTCTTATGCACGATATTTAGCATGTACAAATTTTGTACGAATTTACTCTGATAGAAGGCAATTATTTTTCTTTTTGGTCTTGTGCTGTTTGTTATGATTGTTATTGTATTTCAGCTAAATTATAAAAAAAAACATAACTCACCGTATTTGTGTACAGTGCCTTAAGAGTTAGTTTAGTTATTATGTAAAAATATTATACTTTTTACTATATTTTTTAATTGGACGTGATAAAAGTGTATGCCCCCGGCTGAATGATCTGTAGATAAATGATGATGGGGGATATAGTACAAATTTCCTTCAATCAACAAACGGACAATGTATTTATACACAACGTATGGCGATTTTTTACTTAAAACTGTTTTTCATAGAAATGTGTCATAGTGTTTTCGCGTGTACAAACCCTTGCCCAGCAGTGTTAGCATGTTGAATTGTACTTAGCTAGTGAACAATGTAACCGTTACTTATTTTTATTTTTATAAATTATTTACATGAAAAAACTAATAATTTATAGCTTATTTTTATGCGAAGAATCAAGAATTCTTTTGTTAACATCATTTTTTGGTAGTATTTTATATATGTATATTTTTGATCGTTAGCGCGATATCGTTGTTATAATACATCACAAAACACATTTGCAGCATTTGCTTATCAACCCTTAACACGCCTATTATCTGCTGCTTATATGCAATATATTTTATCATCTTTGAGGTAAGATAATATCCTAAAGATTATTCCGATAAGTGTTTTTTTGATGTATGATTTATGTAGACAAGATAAAAATCTTTTTAACGCATAAACGTTAGATTCTTTTTATTGGCAATTTAAATCACTACGATTACTTGAAATGTCATGAATTTGTGAAGCCTACAAATAGCAAATATTTCAATGTTTTGATAAATCCTATTACACAATACCGTTAATGGTCTAAAATAATTAAATAAGCGATTATTTATGATATATTTATAGTATATATTATATACACACAAAATATTATGAATCACGTCAAATGATAATTTATATTATTGATATCAGGTAAATTAAATATGAATTCGAATCGGATTAACTACATTCTTTCTATTTAATTTAACAGTGCAATTATTTTCAATTATTACAATTTTTGTATACTTTACGTGATTAAATATACAAATTATTATTTCTAAATTTACAATAAAAATAGTACCACGATGTAAATTTTTACATGTAGTTAAATATAATTTAGCATTATTAAAATTATATTTATTTAAGTTACCCACAAAACTCACAAGTTTAGAAGAATCAAATAACCAATTACTTAATAGTGTAAACATATTTAGTGAAATTAAAAAAAAATTGATGAATATTCCCGGTCCCAATGGGAATATAGTTAAAGATAAATAAAAAAATGTAGAATATAAAACCATTAAAACTTTCTCTGAGGTAATGACAAGAAATCAAAATGTTAATTTAGATAAAACACAAACATTTTTACTCGTAAATTATTTTAAATATATACCGAAAACCAGTGTAGACGTTGAACGTACTTCTTCATTACATAAATATATTTTAAGTAACAGACGATGCAATTTTCAAGAATACCATTTAGAGGTGTATATAAATTATAAATTTTAATTCGGAAAAATGATATATTTTTTAAATATTATATAAATTTCCATAATATCATTTAAGTACCTAAGTAATTAATGATTATATATTTAATATAATTTTACTATGTAATTTTAATGTATTTTTCATTGCAATTTTAACAAATTTATACTACAATTTTGGCATCATTTTATTACAATTTTAAGATATTTGTAACACTACTATATCCGGTCTTTAATTATTGATTATAAATTAAATGTTTGAATTAAATTTTACAAGACATGATTTCCAAGTTTGAAAGCGTTATGTACCTTATATAACTTTTAAAATTGTGTTACTACAACTAGTACTTTTTTCTATTAAAAATACACAACAAACACTTAATATGATATTAAAAACTCATATCGCATGTTATTAATAATTTGTTTTCACAGACATTACTACTTCGACTACTATACTATCCAACACTTTTGGAAACGAAAAACTTATTCATTATTGTTAGAAAAGGTATTTTGATAATTTCCAATAATAATAAATTAAAAAAAAATAACTGTCCTATTATTTTTAGGCTGGAACTGTACACTACGTTTTCCGTTGTATTACGTATGCCATGTTTTCCGTGTTCATTAAAATGCATTAGTTTCGATTAGAATGGCTATACACGACGGTCGTGATATGTCGCGTTTTTTTTTTCCACGACGGAATACGCTGACCCGGTCGCGTTTTTTTCGATCAAACGCCGAAATTATAAAAACCCAAACTTCTAATTCTACTATGGTTTAAATTAATATACTGGAGTCAGAATACGCTACGATTATACTATCATTGTACGAGTAAAATCATTTTACGTTGATATTAAATATTGTACCCGTTTAATTTAGTTACACTTGCTCAATATTTTTTATTTATTCTATTTTAAAAGCCCGTGAGGTAAAAGTACAGATATTTTGATATAAATAAATGTTTAATTTTTATTTACTATGTATATGAACCAGGCGCGGATCCAGGAAGTTTTAACAGAGGGTGCTCAAAAAAAAAATAATAATATTAATCATACCTTTTTATTGTTCTATTTTATACAACTTTAGTGCTTTTTTTCAAACGTCAGGATTCAATATTTATTAAATATTAACTTAATAATAACACACATTTCTTTTTTTTTGTACTCATGTTATAACTGTAATCATACTTTTTCATTATTCTATTTTATATTAAAATTATAAGTGTTAAATTTTTTTTCAAACATCTGTATTTAACATTTATTAAATATAAACTTAAAAATAACATTTATTTATTTTTTCTTACATATATTGCAACTGTAATTTTCTCGTGTGTTTTTTATTGAATTCTTTAATAACTTCCTTTAAAGTAATTTTAATATCCCTGTGAATATTAAGGAGCATAAGTCCATTTAATCTATCTTCTCCTATTGTTATCTTAAATAAGTTTTTGTTTATCAAAGTGAGGAAAATTTTACTTCTGCAGCGCAAGTGGTAACTGGTATAACGCAAACAATTTTTAGCGATTCCTTTATATTCGGATAAAATGCAGATTCATGGTTTAATGATTCTATAGCGATTTTCGGTTTATCTAATTGGGATTTCCAAAATTGTTTCCATAAAGTAACCTCACCTCTAACAATTGATCCAATTAAATCATCAACATAAAATTTGACCGATTCAATAATTTTTTCTGTCTGTAATTCGTGTAAAAAAAATGGTATTGAATATTGTAAATGCATAATTGTTTCATGACCGTAACCTACAAATCTATTTTTAATTTCCGATATTAAATAATCCACAAATAGTAAGTATAAGGTCAAACGGAAATATTCTTTTGGGTCTTTGGTATATATATTTTCGCGATTAGTTTATTTTGAACACGTTTTTTTACTTCTATCTTATGCATATCGGCTGATGTTAATGATTTTGTATAAATCGAATTAAAACTTTGAATATTGTTCTTTCTTTTATTTTCAAACTTTTCTAAAATAGTATTTACCATTTGCAATGATTGAAAATATTCTAAATTTTGATTTTGTAACTGCTTAGAAAGAGGCAAAGTAATTGAAAATAATTCTACCAAAACTTGAATTGTAATTAAAAATTCAAATTTCAACACAATTTAGTAAATTATTAGCTTTACTAGTAGTGAGCGTTGTTTCCTCATTAAAGTTTCCAAGTTCGTTCAAGCAATTTATAATAATATCGTATAATTTTATAATTCTAGAAATTGAAGAACTGCATCGTATCGTTCAACCCAGTGTATTTCACGTACAGATTTAAGTCTACATGATTTAGAATTAGGTATAACGTTCATTGATGTAGTATTTAAGAGTAACATTCGTGTTGGTGATGCGCGGAAAAATTATTACCTCTGTATAATACCAACAACTTTCCGAATCAAAACTATAGAACACGCTTTTGATATACTTAAATTTAAACAATGTGTTTCACAATATGTATACAAAGCAAGATGCTGAATTTTTAATATTTGAGCTTGTGCGCCTTGATATTTTCCGGGCATATTAGCCACTCCGTCATAGCCTTGAACACGCAAATATTTTATATTAAGCCCTAAGTCATCTAATTGGCATATTATTACTTTGGAAAGATTATAACCAGTTGTATTTTCAATAATAATCAATTTTAAGAAATCTTGCACTTTATTATGAAAAACAGCGAATGCACAAAACTAATTGTTCACTAGTACTTATATCGGTTATTTCATTAACAAGTAATGAGAAATATTTTGATTCTTTAATAGCATTTACAATTTTACCAAGAACTACACTAGCACAGCAATCGATCAAATCGTTCTGTGTAGTTTTACTAATAAAACTTGCATTTTTCGGACAATTTTGAAAATGGTTTTTTAAAACATCATCACCTGAATCTAAACGAAATATCAAAAGCTCTTTAAAATTTCCTACATTATTTAAATTATTTTTAAACAAAACTCCATCATCACGATGACCACGTAAAAGAAAGTTTTGACGACGACAAAGAAAAATTGTATTGATAATCGGGACAAGTTTTTTTTCGATTTTCTTTAATTTTCTTTTGAATGTTTAAATTTAATTGAACAGCTACAGACTTCTCAGTAGATTTTTAGACATTTTTAAAATCATCCGCTTTGATAATTGTAATTTTATGATAGTCGTTATTTGAATGTTTTTTAAACAGTTTGAGAGCTTTTTTTTCATTTAATGGCTTAATGCATAATTAACCTGCATTGTCTTTACTTTTCCCCATTACATCACGAGAAAATAACACACAAGTTCTACAATAAGCTCCTTCGTGTTTTTGACTATAAGATAACCACGGAAAATCTTTAAGCCATTTGAATTGAAATTTTCTTGAATTTTTATCTTTGGGAAAATTATATAAAATATCCGGTCTCCATATTTTTGTCATTGCAAAATATTTTTTATCATTACTTAATTTTGAACTTTAACTGTCAATAAAGTTACCAGTACCTAATGTATCAAGAAAAATATTCTTTTGTTCATGATAGTCAACATCGGTTTGTAAATCTTTAGAACTACTTTCATGTACATGTGCAGAAATATCACTACTAGTACTTACATTTTCTTCATAATTTACTTTAGATCGATCTTGCACTTTATCTGAACGAATTTTCTTTGCAAAGAAAGACATTAATGATCTCTGAATACTGACAGAGAACGATCATGTTTATTGAGAGATTCAGAGTCATTTCTAAAATCTGACATCGTATTATATATTTAAAGCCGGATGTAATAAAAAACCTTGTTTTACTAACAATCATACAATATTATATTCGACTGTCAGTCACGAACCGAGACTCATAAACAAAATAATAATATAGCAATATTATTGACAGCGAATGCCGAATAATAATAATAATAATAATTACAGCGATCTAATCTAATCTAACAAGTGAATTGTGTATACTTTTGTTGCCGAATGTTATATTTCGTCATTAGTCATTACTATACGTACCGGTCACACTATGCGTTTTATCGGTTGCCGATCGGCAAACGACCGCGACATCTATAATTAATATATAAACCGCGTTATCGGGGCTAGACTGACCAATTCAGCGAACCGATTTTATCTAAGCTCGATAACGTAATTTCATGTTGACAGTTGTTATTAGTTCAATTGGTTGTGTTTTATCAGATCCATTTCCTCAACACCGCCATATTGGAATTTTGAAATATTTTTTTTTTCATTCGATTGTGCTACGCTAGTACCGTTTGTTCTACTTGGTCCCGCGTTTGTGCTGACTTTCTAACCTCGGAAAATCAAATTTTATGTTTGGTGGGGCTGAAGAAATGTTAGCCCCGCCATATTGGAATTTCGAAAAAAAAAGAAAAAAAATAGTTGATTCTTGATACACAAATCAAATTACTTGTTTAGTAAGAATCACTAAAAAATGTAGTTAGTAAAGCAAAAAGCCGAAAAGTACATTTCTTGTAAATAAAAAAAAATGAAACTTCTAACAGTATTATTAATTTAAAAATATATGTATTTAATTTTATAATTATGTATAAATAAAATTATATTAAGACTACATTTGCAAATAAAAGGTTAATAATTAGAGTTTATTGTTTTAAAAAATTGTAAAATCTTAATATTTATTAAATAACTATTGTTACTTAAATTTTTACTAAAAAAATTAAAAAAGGGCCTCTTTAAGTCTACTTTGCCCACGTATAAATTTTACCTCGCGCCGCCACAGGAGAGGAGTTGTTACATACGTCCTTCTTCCACTATCTTTGCACTTTTTTCCATACTGGTTAGCGTCTGTGAGGAGAACTAAATTCTTACCTACTTGTATACTATGCTTTATTTGTCCTTCTTCTAGAGACCCATTCGATTGTATATTTTTATTATTTAGTGTGTTTGTGTGTGTGTGTGTGTGTCATTCGATCGAAAATACGAGTAGGAGTAGTATTGTTCTTTTTATTTTTTTACTTTTTTGAAAAGTAAACGCGTAAAATATAATACGATGGCAAAGAGTTGCTTGGATTATACCTATTATTATTGTATTCGATCCGATCGCAGCAAAAATGTCACAACGATTTCATAGTATATAACGTAATGTAGTTTTTAACCATGCTATCTTCCTAATGCTGATCCATGTATTATCTATACATCTATATATGTTTAAGGATATTTTCTGTATTCAACGAGTTAGGGTTGATTTGGGTGGTGGAGACTCGTCGTGAAGTATTCGAGACGGATATCGATAGACCCGGGACGCGTTTTAAACGTTCGTCAATGTACGGTAAAATTTAATTCAAGATGCGATCGTGCGATATCATTGCACAGTATATTATTCAAATTGGGATGACGGCCGTTAATCTGATCTCCGGGATTACCATAGCAAATAAGAAACCGAACCCGAAACTACGTCGACCCATTAAATCCGGATTAAATACGTCAATATTATACGCTCGAACTCGAATTACTATCGTATCGCATACAAGTGTTATTTTTAATAGCTACAGCAGTAATATATTGCGCCGAATCATTGCTGCTGTACGTTTACGTATGCAATTATTTATCTAGTTATGACATTTGGAATATAATGCACTTAATAGGCCAATAAATAACGACAAACAATATCCAGTCACTTGAGAGTTTTAAAAGATCCTCCGTAACAACGCAATGCAATACTAGACAGCAATCTAAACATTCATTCATCCGTAGTGTTATTATTACGGGATGAGATGGTTACGACGATAAATTATCGTACCAATTCACTAATAAAATGTTGAATTTTACATTGTACTGTTATCGAATCGAAATGCCCGGGTTCGCCAAAATAATAGTTAATCTTAAACGATAAGTATCGCCCGAGTCATACAGGTATTTCGCTTGTAAAGTTATGCTTGTAAAAAACAACAGAATAAAAGTCATCGAGATCTCCTTCCAGTTCCTTGTCTTTCGAACCACTCGGCTTGGGTTGTTTATAATCATTACACGTATAATATTATCACTTGTTTTTCTACATTTTCACATTTATATATGTTATATAATTATTTTTTTTAAATTTTTTAACGTTACAGCCTACCCAAGCGGCCTGGAGAGTCGTGTTCATAACATCGGCATGCGTGTACATGGTGTGCTGCTCGATCTACGTGTTGTTGGGCGACGGCACTCGTCAGCCGTGGGACAATCCGTCCAACGACCAGATAAACCTGGAGCATAAGAAGAACAAGAAGAAGAAAAAGAAGGCCAAGGACATCGAGGACACCGTTCAATGAGTTCCGCCCCACAACAGCCGATCGCCGTTCGACGACCACCGCCCCAATCCATCCACCACAACCTCAAAAAAGCCTTCCCACCACTAGCGTGGGGGGGCATTATCTCAATCGCATACATTATTATTATTATTATTATTATTATTATATATATTATTATTATTATTATAATTATTATTATTATTATTATTATTATTATTATTAGGAGACAACCGTATATGTTGGTGATAAGAGGATATAATAATATACGATAATTTCACATGGGTGTGTGTACGTTAGAGTGTAATTAATGTTTTGTGAAGGATAAAAACGAAAAGCAAAGCGCATCTGTGAAAAGGATTAAATATATGGGATACATATACACACATATGTATGTGTGTGTGTATATGTGTTTGCATGTATGTAAAAACATATATATATATATTTATCATATAAATGTGTAGGGGAATAAAAAGAGATATTATTATTTGTAACGGTATATATTATTATTATAATATTGTTGATAAATGTATACACACATTATTTATTATTTTATTTTAAAAAAAAAACTTAATTTTATAGATTTACATATTAAACTTACTCGGGTGTCGAATCTTGACACCATAGAAAGCACATTCTATTAATTATATTTATAATTATATTTTTTTATAATAATTATTAATAAATAATAAAAAAAAAATCGCTGTTAGATCATTATTGTCTATTTTTAAAAATAAAATATTAAAATAAGTTAATTTTTCGTTCTATATATGACTATTTAGCTTAAAGAAACAAATAATTTGAAAAATTGTGATATTGTTAGAGGTACATATTGTTGCTCCGAAGAAGTACATAGCCTGATGTGTTCTTGATTTTCTCAAAATTTATGTCTTCCCCATTTAAAAACATTAAATTATTCCTTCTCAATTTTTTTCCGATTATAACTTCGATAGATTTATAGTAAAAATGAATAAAATGCAATAAGATTAAAAATATTTAATATTATTAATATTAAGTACATAATGAAAAAAAAAATAAAAAAATAAATTATCAAAAACTTTATTTAAATGATCTTGTGTTCCTTCGACTAGCTCAATATAATATTCGTTGTTTTAGACATGCATGTTTCAAAAGAAATGTGCAAAATGTAACTGAAAAAAATTAAAATAATCTTAAGCAATAAATAAAATAGGTCATAATATTTGTTGTTCTGTAGGTGACATTTTTTGAAAGCGTGGAATTACGGTGGAATCGGGCATTTCGCAAACGAAGAAATTGTGCGAAATATTCTTATTAATTTCTTACACATTTTATCAGTATTTTTTTCACATATATATGTATATATAAATATATTATAAATATATTTATATTATTAAATATTTAATTATATTATCACTGCATAATTTTTTTTCAATGTGATAGTTATTATATTTATTAATTTGTTCGTTACATGATTTACTATAGTAATTAAGTTACATTTTATGTTTAAGAATTTATTTCTGAAGTATATTATACATTGTTGTCTTATAACTTAGAATTCGTCGTTTAGTGAGAATGATAATACTATAACTGTTATACAAATAATAATATAATTTTTAATAAAAAAAAAATAATAAATATATAATTATAGTTATTTATTAGAAAACCATTAAAACCAACTAATTTTCAGAGTAATTGTTAATTTATATATACCACATATATAAATAGTATATTTAAATAAATTTATTACTTTTTTTTCCAAATTACTACTATAGTCGAGCCTATAAGTTACCATAAAATGAACCACATTAACAACATGTAATGAGAAGTTTACCTCTGCTCTTTCGAAATTATATAAAATATATAATACATAAATTTATATATATATAATATTATGTATCGTATATTTATGTTATGTATGGCTCACTTTTTTTTTTTTTTTTTAGATAGTATATACATATATTTGTATTTGTATTATTGTCTTAATGTCATGTTAATTTGTTTTACCTTATCCTTCTATTTAACAGGGTAATAGTATTATTGAAATCTAGGCCTAATAATATAATAGTGTATACCTAACTTAAGTTTATTTGACTATTGTCTGATGATGATGATGATGATAATATATTATTATTATAATTATTATTATTATTATTATTATTATTATTATTATTATTATTACATAGGATGTTTATTTATATTATTATTATGATTGTATTTGTTTTCCTTACGTCTTTTTTTCGCACATTATTCATGCACAGATAATTTTTTCTCACTGGTCTTAAAATTTTTACTTACTTCTATAGCGAGTACATGATTATTTTTTTAACCCTTGTATTATCGACTTATATACGATGATGATAACGGCAGTGACGAACGATGACGATGATGATGACCGAGAAATTTTTATCCCTCCGAAGTTCGAACCGAGTTTATCGATATTACACCCCCAGCATACAATATTGTGTTCCGTATTATGTGTTAATGCCACAAACCATCGATGCGTTCGTGTACTGAATATACAAACGCATTCATAATCGTTACAATACGATTACAATGGTACGGACCTAGTCCGTTTTAGACCATTGATCGGAAACCTAATTCAACAAAATAATAATAATAATAATAATAATTAAATACAAGGGTTAAAGGAGTATACATTATATATATATATTTTTATTTAATTTATATGATATGTATCTTAATAAAGCGCGACCCGATTTCAACGAAAAAAAATATTTATCCGAAATAGCGTGCTGTTTAACGCGTCGCTGCGGTCTCGCGTATGTCTTACTGTATTGTCGATAATTTAATAACTATGAGATGAAAAAAAAAACCAATCCAACAAAATTAAATGACTGTTTATTAGTTGAAATAATGTGTTTATTATTGTTTAGGTTGTCAATTATTATTCTAGAAATAAATACATGAGTTGTCAATAAAAAAAAATTGGTTTTTCTTGTTGTCCATTCGTTCGCGATATCCTGAACAGAGAACGCAATGCTCGAGCGGAAAGTTTTAACGGCACCGGTCGAACCTGAAGCTACCGCGACCACTATCGACGAAAACGTCGGTTTAACGTTAACGAACGCGTCGCGATGCGACCGAATGTTTTGCCCGTGCAAATGATGATGATTTTCGGGTAAGTTCGATTGATTAGGCTTAATACAAAGGTGAAGATCGAACTTAAACGTCCAGAGCCGTGTTCGCATGATGGTGGTGTGCTCGGCGCGCTTAAGTCAAAAATACCCCTTCCCAGTACGGATGATTTTTAGCGAAGATCTATTTCAATTATATACTCATGTTAATTTTTAATCTAAATTGATTTTACGTTTACGAGAGTAATTCCAGAGAGTATATTCCAGTTTTCATTGGTACTACATATGCGCAATACATTTATAACCGAGTGGTGAGTATTATTATATGTTTGTTCTATGAATGATTTACAAATGTGTGTTGCAAATATGCACGTTTCAAAGTTGATCCCTACATTCTGCACTTTTAAGTCATACGTTTAAGTCGTTTAAGGTGGAACCAAAATAATTCTTGAAACGAGCGCTAAATGAGCTTAAGTCGGCCCCGGTCGCAATGTATTCTGCGTGTATTATAATATTATTCCGAGTAACATAACTCGTACCCGCGGAACACGCGCTTGACCGTAGCCGAAACGGAGCATACTAGTTGCCTCCGAAAATATACGAATTGCCTCCCGTCCTTATCGTAAATAAAAATGTTAATTTACCCTGGTTGCCTCCGATCACCAGGTAGTTAATGTTTATATACGAGTTGCCTCCCAAGATTTTTCACACTAGTTGCCTCCCGTATAGAATTAAAATTAAATTATTTCAAATAGGTATTTAAATATTTCAATTAAAAAGTATTAAAATACATATAATTCAAAAAATATTTAAAATACATTTTTTTAAGCTTTGTTGTTGTCAGATTCTTAATTCTTAAAACATAACGATAAAATAACATTAATTTCTAGTAACTAATGACTTACTTAAATTAAAAAATAAAACTAAAAAAAAAAATAAATACATTTTAATCATTTGTAAACTTCACTAAACGGTTCCACATAAATAATGTTTATTCATTTTCGTAAATAATTTCTATCTCACCCAAAACATTCAAAGCTTCATTTCTTGTTTTAGGTAAGTTCGGCAAAATTGAGCTACGTACGACCTCGATGTATATTTTTTTTCGTATACCACACATTGGTAGTTGTAATAGTATCTATTTTATAGTGTCTTAATTCTTCATGTAATCATTTCGAAGACCTTTCACATAATAATGTTTCAGTGACTGCTTTTCATTCTAGAGTTACTAATTTCTTACCTATTAAGTAGGTACTTGTTTAGATAATGCTATTTGATTATTTTAATTCAACTTACATTTGTCAAATATTAATTTGTCATTTTTATCCACTTTTAAAAAAACCTTACAGATTTTTGTCGCACAGTTCCACTGTTCTTTGTTAATGGCTAACTTTTTTTTTGAATACTAAATTTAAAATCTTTAATTGTTTTAATAAATTCTCTCTTTTCGCTAAATACCTGCGTCCGCACATCACATTGATCAATTCTAAAAACGTTTGTAAAAATAATATCGTACAACGATAATGAGTGTCGAAAATCAACTGAATGTTACTCAATCACGTATATTATTTACCATAGTCTGGCTCAGATCTAATTTGCATTATATCTTATCATTGCACAAAAGAGTATAGGATCTTAATGGTTCATCGTATAGATATAATCGTATCAAATATTAAATATAACAAAAGTCATCAATTACGACTATGAAATTACAAACTTATTTTGTTACATGATATTTGAAAATATTTGAAACCACTTATATATTTATTACCTGACTATTGGGAGGCAGGCAACTAGTACTAGACCCTTTTTGTTTACGATAAAATTTAGGGTACGTCGGGAGGCAGTTTTTACAAAAATTATTGACTTTTTTGACGTTTTAGATAATAAATAAAATTTTTAAAAAAAACATGTGAAAAAACACGTAAAACGAGAATTTGTATATAGAGCACGTGCACTTTACCCCTTAGCACGCAACGTAAATTTCACCCGTGTAAAATCAATAAACGTTCATATTGCGTTATTGTCGTAGTTATCATTATTATTATTCTTTAATATTTTTTTTTTTCTTAAATTATACCATGAGGTGATATGATAGTGGGAGCCTCCTAGGACCGTTACACTGGAAAACGTGTTCTTAGCGTAACACTAGATGTACGATCATAGTATGTTGATTAGCAATTGGTGCCGTTCGAAAGCAGTCAAGACCGACGTGCCACAGTAAGTAGTACGTGTTGGCAACTTTGCAAAGATTTTATCAAACTTTTGAACCATTGGGAACGAGCCGAATATAATAATTATTCGGGAAATAGTTAAATCGACGTATCCTTATCGATTGTATTTGTGTACTTGATGCATAATTGTACGTGGTTTAGCGATACGCCAAAGTTAATTGGATATATTCGCTTTTACTCCATTGCGTTCGGAAAAAGAAAACAAATTAGAGTCATTGATTGATGCTTTAATTTTTAGCGCAACATATTACAGTTTTTCAACATCAACATACTATATTACACTTATAATAAGTAAACATACATTTGATACTTGTAGACGTACCAAGGAATTAAAAATGTTTCAAAATGTGTAAAGAACATGATTAGTTCATAATACATTAAAATGCATGTTTTAATTTCCTCCTTCATCTCTTAAATACGATGATATAATACATATTTTGGAAAATAGTAATACTAATTTTGAAAAATAAATCTAGGTTACCACAGATTATTATTAATCAATTACGATGATATATAAATTTTTTTTATATATATTATGAACTATAATATAGGTATGTCTATAGACATTGTCTACAGATATCAAATGTATGAAGGATGTGTAATCTAGTGAGCTGATCTATGAATGGAGATAATATTGATAATTAGTGTGTTATAAATACTGGATGAACATCATCAAAAAAAAAAAAAAGTGACTCAGACTTTACTAATTATAATGAAATTTCTGATTGTGCTAAAGACTAAAGGTGATGCTGGTTCTATTATGCTACCAAATGTGTTAGTTATTCTGAAAAAAATACAGGTAGCTTTGAAATCATAACTGTCAACGAAAGAGCCGGTGGTTATATAGAAGCATCTTCTTCAGCAGTTTGTGTGACTTTTGTAGGAATCATCATATCCTTTCGCCTCGGAATTTTCCTTATATTATCACCATCAGGTCTCCTTAATTGTTTAGCCATAGACTTCAACAATTCTGTATTGATTACATATTTTGGAAATTGACTAGGCAGTTCACATTTTGCTTGCAGAGGCTTAAATGGTGGTGGTGGAGGTGGAGGTATTTTTAGAAATTTCGGTTCTGGTTCTCTCGGTAGCGCTAAATGAATAGGATAAGCTTGTTGACTTTTCGCTGCGTGTTGAACGTTTTCTATTGAATCGTTTACTCCACCTCTTAAATATGTTCCTGACATAATCATAACATTTTGCCGCATTTTTTCGGCATTGATCTGATTTATGAAATTTCGGTTTGTCTCTTTTGCTTCTAAAACATATTTATAAAATAATTATAAAAAATATCCATTAAAAATGTTTAAGGAGATCGACCACTTACTTTCCAGCTCGGATAATCGAGTTTTTAACTTCTCATATTTAGGATGAATAATGTTGTCGATGTTCTCATAATTTACAACTTTAGCAGTTGTATCTTAATAATAAATGTATACGTGTTAAATATATTTATGTTTCAGAAAGTAATTATAGAAATATAAACATTATATTACTTTTTAAAGTATATGAATGTTTTTTACGATTGTCCAAATCCTTCTTCATTTGATCCTTGAACCTATTGTAATCATTTTTGTTTACATAATGTTTTTGTTTATTACCTAAGAACAAATTATGTATATTTAACCTTTGATGAAAAAAATTTCAAATACAATAATTAATTAAAAAAAATATATACTCTTGATTTCTTTAGCCATCGTTGTAATCGTCTGAATTAAAAGTTTTTTTTCTGAACCTAACGAGTCAACAGTATTTACAAGGTTTTTCATTTGGTTATTAATTTTCTTGAATTTGGCCTCTAATTCAACTAAAAGTAAAATTGAACATCAATTAAGTATTTGAACGTAACGGAACTCATAATTAAAATTGTCTAAAATAAATGATAATTTTTGTGCTTTCGAAACATCTGCCGTGCAAAATAATAATATTTTTATTGTCAGATTTAAATTTTGAGCCAACACCGTATGCGTGTAAAAAAATTAATGTCTACGTAATTATTTATCCACACACCGTGATGTATAAATAATCACATACCGTTAATCATTTTCAAGTTATTTTCCATTCTGCTGTTATTATCTCTCAGAATCCATAACTCTTTTTCCATAAAAATATTATCTTTTTTCTCAGAGTCATCATCTAAAATTCAATGAGAATAAATGTTTAATTATGTTCATATATGTTACGGTTCAAATAAATTACGACACTTGCAGTTGGTCGAATTTTTTTTCATTTTTTGTATTTCAACATTTAATTCTTTGACAATCTGGTCATGTTTCGCCTGTTTTTCTTGTGTCGCCCTTATGTGTGCATCTATATTTGTAAACAAAACATATTTTAAAAAAGTATCACAATTATTAAATTTATTTTAATTTAATAGTTTTGTTTGCCTTGAATCAATTCAATTTTCCGCTCCATTATATTACATTTTTCTCTCATAAATGATAATTCATTGACCAAGATGTAATTGTCATGCTTGAACTCGGTTATAACTAAGACCCAGCGATAGTTATTATCATTAACCGTTCATTATACCGAATTTTTACAATATGGTAACATAATAATTGCCTACCTTTCTTCGCCTTTTCTAACTCACAGCACATCCGATTTGCCGCTGTGATTACGTCATCGGTCTGGTTTCCTTTGTTTTTGGTTTCTAAACGTGTAAGCATTGTTTCATATTGTATCATTTGTTGTTTTTCCTTTTTTTGTTCCATTATATTATAATAGTTTATCATGTTTTTACAAACCTGTGTGAATTTTTACTATTTTGTTGGACAGCAGTTCATCTTTGTCCGTCAAAGAGCACACTTCTTGGAACTTTTGCGTTTCCCTTGTAGAAGCGTTTGCCATATCCCCCTGACTTTTGACGTCATCAACGTGTCCATTCCATCTTATCCAATTGAACCATCCTCCGATTATTGTAGATATCTGCTTTAGAACTGTCGATATTTCTGACATGCTGCTTTGCTTTCTTACATTTGCCATTTATGCTATTACTTCTAGTAATATTTATTCAAAACTCACTCGAATACTACGAACAAGCCTACGCTTACTAATTATATAATATTTAGTAAATATGATGCTAAATCTGCAATGCACAGGTGCAAACAAAATTATTTTACTAATAAAATATTAGACGAACTTCTATACGGAAAGATCAACAATCTTTGTTCGATATCTATGCCAATATTTGTAACAAGTCGTGTTTTTATTAGAGCCACGATATACATTTTTATTTAACACACTATAACTTCTACCGTATTCCCGATGTATTTGTGTTGTTATTCGGATTTTCGGACATATCAATGTAAAAATAAAAAACATTAGTTGTTCCATTTAGTCTTTTTGTGAAACAGTCGAGTGTTAATTTTTCGAACGAATGTAATTTTGATGTGCGCCACATGGAATTGAAAATCATCGTTCCGAACTTGATGTTACCGGTATCGACAAATATTTCTTTGTCGTCTCGGAATGGACATATTTTCTCGTGTGACTTCCACACCTGACACGGTCTCGCGGTAGTTAAGGTGCATGACGTGAACTACTATCACTAACACTATCACTCTCTACCCTCTGCCGCAACCCGGACGATGACAACGCCAAGCTGCCGAATCACCGTATCACGTTAAACATCAATCCCTCTCTTGGTTAGATTAGTTAAGCTTAGTTAAGCGACGTCGACCGTAGCTAGTACCCTCCACCACCATTCAGCTGCAAATAACCGGATCACGTTGCACACCTCGGTTTCTCATCTGATCAGAACATATTTTAAGTAATTTTCAACAAAATTGTCTACCATCATGTAATTAATAGATTTGATATTTTTCTGTAGAGTAACATACAGGGAAAATCAACTCCTGTCACTATGGTCGTTATGATAATGTGTTGGTTAGTGGCATGATCACACTACTGAGTAACATTTAATTGTCACTAGTAGGGGGAGGAACACTAGTGCTACGTACTTTTTATATTAAAATATTCTCTGCATCTGATGATTAAAGTCTGAGCAACTTCAGCTATCATCGTCCTGACCAGAAGCCACCGAGGACAGCATCGTGCCTTGTCACACCATTTAAACGGATCAACACTTCAATTCTGGTTCTGCCGGTTAGCCGTATATGATGTCATTGAATTTATCGCAAAATAAAAACTCAAATGCTCCCTTATTTTATCAGATAAATTATTCACCATAAAATGTTCTTTAGTTACGACAACACTGCCTCTTTAAAAAGTACAACGACGGCCCTATAATTTTTTTTCATATTCAAATGTTTTTCTATCACTTTTGATATCAATGGTCTAACCATTTATATTGGATAATGTGTTTCGACACTTAAAAGGGTTGTATCAACTCGTAATGGTTTTAACAAAATTTCTAGACTTTCCATTATTATCCAGTCACTCTGTAATTTCCAACTTTCTAACCGTTGCGAAATTTGTTGTACCACGATCAGCTAAGACGTTTGTCACAAGAAATATATTCTTTAAAACCTATAATTGAATAAAAATACTCAATGCTTGATGTATTTATTCTATTTTTTCAGAATAACAAATTCGATTTTTCTCCCGATTTATATCTGTTTGTTGCTGTTTTCTAGATATTGAAGCATACATTTCCAAATTTTGTATTCTTGAAAAACCAGCAGTTGTAGTTGTACTGGTTAACGCATCGGAATTATCAAATTCATGACAGATGTGCTTTATGTGATGATAGCCACATAATAATAGAATATCATTATTAATTTTTTTTTTCTCTAACTATGAAAATATTGTAAATATATAATATAAATATTTATCTACAATAAATTATAGAAATTATCTTAATTAATCGAATAATTTTAACTTATACTCTTTGTAATTGTTAATCTATAATAGTTTCCACTAATTGTAAATAAAAATATGAAAATAAAAACAAAATTCTTATAAACACCAAAAAATGGCTGCTTCCAAGCTATTAGCATGTGGAATTAATATTTTCAATCTACTTCAATCAAGTACAAAATACGGCCCGAGTTATTACTAAATGTTCTATTTATAAATAAAAAGATATCGGACGTCAGTCAGATTGACAAAGCAGATTTTACGCACTAGGCCAATTTTTTTTTTTCGTTGGGCATGATCATACGATTTTTAACAGAACTTTATATACATTTGTTTTGAAATAACATATTTTCGTTACATTACCACACTCGCAAACCTACCCGTTAATACTTCTGCAACAGAAGACGAAAAACTATGCCGGCTGTCCGATACAGCAAAGCTTCCGTCTTCAACCTGACACCGTGAGTTAAAAAGCTCCATGGACTTACACGTGAACATAATATGCATATATATGTTACGGCTAGTGTTAGAAGTATGACAAATCTCAAGTTTAGCCGGCTAATAACAAGTATAACCACTGCGTTTGGCTAATATCTAAATTTTGGACTTTATCCATCAATATTTAACATTATCCAGATGCATATGGCTAATGTCTAAGTCAGTGACGTACATAAGAGGGGGAGGGTGGTCAGGGTTCAAACCCCCCAGGGCCAAAAAAAAAAAAAATGAAAATTGTTTTATTATTGATGACGTGTAATAAATTCGTAGTTTCATTATTACGCTTTGAACTTAAAATATACAACTATACAAATATTATGATAATTAAATAATTATATAAATAGGTGTTTGAAAAGTTTTGTTAACTATGCTGTTTTTATATTCCAATAGCTATTAATTTACTGTAATGTTAAAGTAAACTGGAAATTGGTAAAAAAGTTGTATAAAATAATAACTATAGCAGTTATTTATCTTATTTATCTGTGCAACGAAAAAAAAAGATAACGATTATTTTTGTTAACCCCCCCCCCCTCCCACCCAGAGCAAGATTGAATGTACGCCACTGGTCTAAATAACATTATCCATATAAATAATTAAACGGTTTAAGTCATACAAAAATTCTTTAATTTCTTCTCTTATTCAATAATATTTAATAATATTGTAGATTATAGAATAATTTTAATAATAATAGAGTAGAATTATTATTAAAAATTATTTAATCAATGATAAATATGTACCTATTTTTATTATTTAGATTTACGGCTTAGATCATATACAATGATGGAGTCTTACAAATAATTTGTGAAGTCAACATAACAGTAGGACCGCAGTGATATGCGCATGCAAGGAACACAGGAATGCAACGAAAATTCGTCACGTTTTATACTAATACATGCGCATGCGGGTCATTTTGTAGGAGATAGCAAACGCAGACATTAATAGTAACGTTGGCTGTCGTCAGCGCGTGGCCTATGTTACGTACTCTTATTTTATACCTATACACACGCATGTGCGTGACATTAAAAAAACCAAATGTGTCTAATTTTTTTAAGTCAGACTTGCTTTGCTTCTAAAATTAACATATTTATAAAAATGTATTTATTATTTTATTACTTACTATTACTCACTATTTAGTATTTACTGTATATTACATTTAATTAAACTGTGATATTATTATACATACAGAAATTTGTGATTTGTGTAGCATGAACAGTGGTATTTTAAACTTGAAATAAAAAAGTATAGGC